CCAGCCCAAATACGGGGCAGATATGGGGGCGTCCAGGCACACCCGCCACATCGAAACCTATAGCCCGACCCCACTGCAAATTGCACCAAATCCACCCCCAAGACCCGCCGGATCCATTTGCTATCTCCTCTCTTCTTCCTCCTCCGTGTCGTTCGTCTCGCAGCTCCGCCATCGCGTGCTCCGTAGCCATTCCTAGCCTCTACGCTGCCATCTCCGGCAGAGCAGTCCTCTCTCCCATCCTCGCCATGGGGGACGTCGTCCCCGGCCCGGACGCCACCACGGTACGTTCAACAACTCTCTGGCTCTGCCTTGCGCTTGATGTGTTTGACACATTGTCTGACCGTATTATTTGTGGATTCTGATGCTTCGTCAGATGAGGAGTATGGACCGATGGAGCTTGATGAAATGATTCAAGACGAGTTCTTCGATTCCTCGAATTCAGACAAGAAGTGGACATGATCATTCTCATGACCATGCAAGAGGAAATGGACCTGCAAGTGGAGCATATTCCCAACTTCAAGGGCTCAATCAAAGGGAGAAGAGTGATCAACTGGGGTAGGGTGTCTGGAGCAAAGCTACTTCATAGGGACTACTTTGCTCCCAATCCTACTTTCCCGGATGATCCATGGTTTCATCACCGTTTTTGCATGCGAAAAACATTGTTTTTGCGCATTGTGGATGCAGTGGAGGCACACGACGACTACTTCAAACTCACAAGGGATTGCTGCGGACAACTCTCTTTCTCTGCCAAGCAGAAGTGCACAGTTGCTTTGAGGATGCTTGCACTTGGTACTGTTGCAGATGTCATTGGTGAGATGGTCAGGATGGGGGAGAGCACGTGCCTGAAGACTACTGTCAAGTTTGCTCACGCCATGGTGGATGTGTTTGGACTTGAGTATCTCAGAGAACCAAGTGCGCAAGACAGAGAGAAGTTGTTGGCTATTGAAGAGGCAAGGGGGTTTCTAGGAATGCTCGGATCAATTGATTGCATGCATTGGCAATGGAAGAACTGCCCCAAAGGTTTGTGGGGGAATGTATCAAGGTCACACCAAAGAGGCCACCATCATACTAGAAGCGGTGGCATCACATGACTTATGGATTTGGCATGCTTTCTTTGGAATGTCGGGTTCTCGCAACGACATCAACGTGCTTCAACAATCTCTGGTGTTTAGGAGGCTTTGCAATGGGGAATCATCGCCGTGCAACTACACCGTCGTACAACATGGGATACTATCTTGCCAATGGTATCTATCCTCAATGGCGGCGTTTGTGAAGACCATGTCTGAACCGCATGGCAATAAACAGAGTCACTTTGCAACAATGCAGGAAGCGGGTATGAAGGATGCTGAGAGGGCATTTGGTGTGATTCAAGCTCGTTGGGGAATTGTGCGTATCGCTGCAATGATGTGGGGATCAGAAACTTTGTGGCAGCTGATGACATGTGTTTATTTTGCACAACATGATTGTCGAGGATAAGGGTGATGGTGTAGCCCAAACCAATGATCTTGAAGCACCTGGAGAACAAGTTAAAATCCCAGAAGATCAAGACGCAACTCATATTATGAACTTTCTACAGATGCATCAGAATCTTCGAGATCATCATGTACACACGTAGCTACTCGATGATCTTGTGGAGCACATGTGGACCCACAATGAAAACCAATGAGCTAATGTTTGAGTTGTGCACTTAAAATAAAGGGATAATTGTATTTATACCCTTAGTTGTGTCCCTCTCAACCGAATTGCCCCTAGTTTTTGAAAACACGTGGTCTTGCCCGTCCCACTTTGTCATCTTGTGCTTTTGCCCTTTGACCGTTTGACCGTCACTTTGAAAACTTCATAACTAATTCATACTAAATCAGAACAATGCAAATAAGATACCAAAATGTTTGGAAAAACATCACCTGTATGCCAATCTCAGTTGCATTCATGACAAAAGTGTTGGTAAGTGCCCATCCGAGTTTTAGCTCTTATCATACCACCATGAATAGGAAAGTCTAAAAAAACTTCAAAAAATTCAAGAAAAATTTGGTGCCAAAGAATTGTAAAGGTTTTAAGTGCTTGCCAAGTTTCATGAGGGAATGACATTTGTGGAGGTTTTTTTAGACTTTCCTATTCATGGTGGTATGATAAGAGCTAAAACTCGGATGGGCACTTACCAACACTTTTGACATGAATGCAACTGAGATTGACATACAGGTGATGTTTTTCCAAACATTTTGGTATCTTATTTGCATTGTTCTGATTTAGTATGAATTAGTTATGAAGTTTTCAAAGTGATGGTCAAACGGTCAAAGGGCAAAAGCACAAGATGACAAAGTGGGACGGGCAAGACCACGTGTTTTCAAAAACTAGGGGCAATTCGGTTGAGGGGGACACAACTAAGGGTATAAATACAATTATCCCTAAAATAAATTTTATGTAAACACTATCTATGTTCGGTTCCAACATTTGTTACGTGCGACATTGGTTTTTATGATCGACATGTATGAATTCGCATGTTTTGAGAGTCTGGATTTGAGATATGTGGATGTCGGGAGCGAAATATGAGGACCCGTCCGGATGCATCCGCGGGCGTGCCTTGGCGCGTCCGCGGACGTATCGGGTCGGATTTGCCAAGTCCAGCTATAGATGCTCTTAATAGAGGTGGACATCTGAGATATAGGGTTGGATGATCGGCTCCCATATCCGTATGCGCCCACGCGTCCGCAAACGTCTACTGAGTTCGATTCAAGGGACGACGTTGGAGACACCCTTACTCACCAGGTTTGATTCCATTGCGACACTCATAGGGCCAACACCAAGCCACACGAAAGTACAATTATAGGTTCTACCATAACTAGCCATGAAATGGTTTACAAATTTTTCGCTTCGTACATGGGTAATACAAGTCTCTCTTTCTAAAAGCTTCATGTCGATATCTCCTATCTTTCTCCCACCTTTTCCTTGTCTTGCTTACCACACCATCGTGCACGACCCTATATTTCTCTCACTTCCCCGTCTCAAAGTGAATGCTTCTATTTGGGTTTTCCATTCAACTCCATCCAACAATGAACCATCATGAATGGCTTCTTCTCAAGATGATGTTACAAAGTTGCCACCAATTCCATGTAGCAAAAATCACACATCAACGTAATGAAAGAAATGAAACACGCAAGAAAGAAGACAATCAACGCGGAGGAGACAAAACTTACATGGCTATTGACTCAAATGCCACTTTGGTCCCTATTCATCACGCAAGCATAATCAACGCAAATACTTGTTCATGGACTATTGGATGTGGCCCATCTATGTTGGAAAGAGCTCTTAGTGCAGTTGATACATGTAGTGCTTGTGCACTTGGTACCATGCATGGATTTCCCCCAATAATTCAAGCCCTTTTGATCAGTTTCATATATTGGATCTATAATCGTGTCCAATCAAGCTTGACACAACAAGACATCTTCTTTGCTTAAGTAGGCATTTTGTCTCTTCATCACTTTTCCTTTTTGAGTGCCCGAGGATTGCCCAACATTAGACAAAAGCAAATTTCCATCATCTCCCAAATTGGAGGATCTTGCCAGTCATTGATCATTTGCACCATTAAGGAGTCATAAACATGCATCATAACGACTGCCTTACTAAACCAGGTCCCAAAAAATGTTGGCAAAATAACCCGCAGATTTGATTGAGGCATATCCTCAAACAGTGGGCATGTTTGCCGTTGAGCTTGCCAATGTCGTCCGGGATCGTTGGAGCTACGATGACTCGTACATCGGGTTTGGGGAGGCGGCTGGGTCTTGCGTGCAGCTGTTCGGGACGCCAACCACTGCGAAGGCTGGAACACCATTAGGCGTGGGCGTGGCGGACACTATCGAAGCGGATGCGACGAACTTCAAGTCGATGACCTCTTTCGCTGCAGCTGCCTTCTCAGCCTTCTCGCGGTCGTGCCGGCAGACACACCGATCCTTGCGTCCGATCCTCTCCGCTTTCACCGGTGCAACAATCGGGACCCCCACGGACTTGGCTGACCCAAGGTCCATGGCGGCGGGCAGACGTGTGAGCGGGCGTCGGTGGCTAGGACAGAGGAAGAGGGCGGCGGTGCAAATGCGAAAAAGGAAGGACTAGTGCGGGAAGGGGTTCGATTTAGACAATTTGGAGGGATTTGAGGTGGATCCAATCTATCGATCGAGATGGCCTAGTCCTGGTTAAAGAACACTTTTGTGTCCGGACCCTGTCTGGTCTGTCCCACGCGCAAACAGGAAATGGATTCTGTTAGAAATGCTTAAAAAGTCATGCTGCGAGCTGTGCAGTTCGGAGCAGAGCGAGCAAAGCAAAGCCAAAGCCAGAGCCAGAGCCAGCCAGGAACGAGGCCACAACGGGAAAACCGCACCGAGTAGCACCAAAATGCTCCATTTCCCCATCCCCCCTTCGTCCCGTTCCCCCACCCTTCTCTCGACCGTGGCCTCTCTCCGTCTCCGTCCCCCCGCTCGTCTCCTCCGCTCCAACCAAAACCAAAGCCACCCCCAGATTTGCACCCCGGCCCCCAGGGACACCCCGAATTCCCCGTTCCATCCCACCACCGCGCTCGCGCGCACCGCCCGGCCGGCCTCCCGAATTCCCACTCTCGCCCCAAATCTCCCGGGGGCAGCG